AGATCTGAGGCTGAGAGAAAATAAGCAGGGGACTGCTTTGCACATTTTCAGTACTGAAAATTTCCAAGCAAAAGCACACTTTTTACACTCTTGTGTTGGCCTTGGACATAACCTTTCCTCATTACTTGTGGCTGCAACGTCTTAGAAAAGCAGGACTTTGCTCGTGCCCCAGAGTCCAGAGCCAAGAAGTATATTCTCTCACTGTAGCTATAATTGGGGTGAATCATGATGGCTCCCACATTAGACTGCTCAAGAAATCTCTTTGTAGCAAATACAGCAATAGCTTCAAGAAATAACTTCACTGGCGTTTGCTCCATATGGATTAATGTCTCCTCAGGGGCCGTGGCTACCATCCCAAACAACATTTCTAGGGCTTGCGTGGCTACATCCTTTTCCTGTGAATCAACGTTGGCATCTGCTCATCCAGAGTATTCAGGAGAAATATTTGCTGTTGCCTGGAGACTAAGACAGGATAAAAAGTATTGGGAGCCCTAAATTATTTTTGCAGCTCTTCCTCTGATGCCGTGCCACTCCCAGACAATCTCTTTTACTTAGCTGTTGTGTGTCTCACGGGTTCTTCAACCTGTGGAATAGGTACGGTTATACTCGCCAAGTGCTCAAAGTACTTGAAAGTCCTCCCAGGCTTTCACGTGAAAGGAATCATATAGAAGCACATCCACTATAAGGGCCGCCAAGACTCCGTCTGTCTTTGTCAGTGTCATCATTATTTGTTCCACCCCAGGAAGGTGATAAGCCCCAGAGAGACAGAACAGCCGCACTGAGAAGTGGCCTTTCACATCCCCGCTGGATACGTGCACGATGAGGAAACTTCCTTCCACCCAGAGGTGCAAGCAGACTCTGGAGCTGGCAGTCACGTGTTGCTCACAGCCTCACAACCCACAGGATCCTGCATGGAAAAATTTCACTTCCATGTGTTGACTGAGTTAATGTGGTGGGGAGAGTGGGCGGACATAAAATGGAACTACGAAAAGAGATTAATTTGCAGCTGAAGGCCAGGCAGCGGGAACGCCAGCTCTGTGTTTGCTCAGAGAACAGCAGTTTAGACCAAAACCCAGTTGAAAAGAAGAGGTTAAGGCAGTGGTAGTAAAAAAATCAAAACTGGGGAAAAAAAGCAAAAGTTAAGCAAAGCCTCTCTGGAAATTAAGACGTGGAATTCAAAACATTCGCAGTATAATAAACCCAGCCGAGCCCATAAAGCTGCACCAGCCAAAAGGAGGTCTGTTCTGCCTACGAGGAAACACGAAACCGCGTCATGCCTGGCAGCAGCCGCCCCTTAGTCCCGTTTCCTCCCCGCTTTATTGCAGAATTGTGCTGCTGGGTGCCCTCGGCTATGTTTAACGCAGCGTCTGTTTCCACTCTAACCCCTTTGCTTTGGAGGGGGTGGATATAAATCAGCTGCGGAGCTGCCCACAGGGCTTAGTCACAGCAGGTATTGGTTTAGGGTGTCTTAGAGGAACTTTTTTTTCTTCTGGAAGTATTCTAGGGAATAAACGCAGGCTTTGTGAGGAACAGGCATTGCTCCACAGGCCAGAGTGTCCAGACAAAAGACATTTTACATCACCCAGAAGAATCCTAACATTTTGGGCTGAGTGCTCCAAAGGCTGCTGCTCCACAAGGCCCCAGAAGACGCTTGTCCCCAGGTCCCCACCGAAACGAGCCTCCCATCCCTCCTGGCACTCACAGGAGCACGCCTGCCCTGTCTGCTGCCTCTCACCTCAGGACATTCTCTATGCTGGGTATCTCCCCCTTCCCCCTAGCTTCCTCCTGCCCAAAGCCCCTGCACGCAGTTGGCACTGGGTCCAGATGCCTCTCCTGCACACACACCGCCCGCTGCACCTCCTTCCTTCCAACTCCCAAAGCGTCTTTCTCCAGATTCAAGCACATGCCAGATTTCCCCAATGCAGGCCACACAAATTGTAGCAATTAGCAAGCGTAAAGGGCACGCTGTGGCTTTCTCACGCATTACTGCATCCTTACTACTCATTCCTATCCCTGGGCACACTCATCAAATTGCGTATAGTCAGCAATATTATCCAGACCTTCCCTACACTGCTGCTTGAGCCCCACTGCAGAGACCCAGTTCATAGCATTTGTGCATCCAACCACTAGTAGTTAGGAAGTCTTCAGACTCAAGACAGCATGGCATCTCCCACCCGTGCCAGTCCTGTGTTGTGTGGACTTAATCTCTCTAGCTTTTCTTGTGCTTCCCATCTCTAACCATGTCCCCTCAGTTTCTGCCCCACCACCAAATCACTTTGTGATGGCTGGCACAAATCCCTCTGTGATTTGCAACAGCAGCTCCCAGCTCCATTTCAGCCCAGGCCCTCCCAGCAGGAATCTTATAGATCGTAAGTCCAGATTTGCTTTTAACGGTCTTCTAGGCGTATTTCAGAGAAGAAGTTTCTCCAAGTTCTTTCTTTTCTGCCTTCCAATCTCATGACAGTGTTGACCTTTGAGCATTTTGAGGGTTTTTTAAGTGGTATTTTATTGTTACCTGCAATCGTGGCACACCACACATTTATCAATGAATGGCTTTGGGCAAAGGTCGGCCAAAACTAGACCATAACCAATCACCTTTAAGAACAACAACACAGTAACCCTATTCCACTTCACATTTCTCATCTACAGAGATGCTTGAGAAATGAGAAACTTCATTTCCATAGCCACCAACTGTAAAACTGAAGGTGTTTCAGTACAAGAGCTATATGTGGCCCATAGCAAGGTGGCCTAGTTACTGGGACACCTACAGCTGCCATGGGTGCTGGGAAGGGAACGGCAGCTACCAGATGGGATATGAGCCACCTGGAGCTCTGCAGATCAAAGTCACCACATGCCTCCTGACTGTATAGCCATACATGCTGGCTATAATTTCCAGAGACAACTAGACACAGTAAAGGTGAAGCTCGAGAGTTGCTCAAATTCTAAGCCAAAAAATATACATCAGCTAATGCTTGCTGCCCAAAGGCATGGATCCAAGCCTCTGTCAGGGACACGGCAAACATCCATGACTGTAACCAGAAATGCATGAGGAACAGCCAGACAGACACCTTAAGCATCCCTCTGCACAGCAGCAAGAGCTGTAAGTGCAACTTGAAAATGGCACCAATGCACTCACGTGGGAGCGACTGTGCCAGCACACAGCCCAGCCAGCCCTTTCCTTCTGGCCACCTGAGAGTCCCATGCAATGAACAAATGAGCCAGAGCATCAACAAGCCCCCATATCAGAGGAGCGTGTCCCTCACAATCTTCCTTCCAGGAAGGGCTATCTACTCTTCTGAACCTTGGCAAGGATATTACAAACATGCATCCAACCTCTGGTGGAGACAGATGAGAACCCTGTGAGAAACAGCACACTCATAGCTCATCCAAGGGAGCAGAAGTCCCTCCAGACTATGTGCTGCCATACACCCGAGCCACCTCATGTTTCTGTAGGCTCTCACGTGCACGCACTCTCTCTTATAAATTATTACAGAAAGTAAATGCCTGATGGCGCTTGCTCAGCTCTTCTCTGTTCCCCATGTGACCAAGCGGAGAGTTAATTTCAAAAAGCAAAGCACCAAGTGACAGAGATTAAACCTCACAGAAGAAAAGTAGTGCTGGTATCCCAGAACCAGTGCCCTGGAAAGACAAGGAAAGCATACAAGCACCGCAAACAAAGACCTACTTTTAGCACAGCTTCACAGTTGTTTGTCATACCAATAGCACCGTGCAACTGTACAGCTATTTCTTCATCAATTATTAACTGTGCAAAGACTGTTTGAAGAGCCATGCAGAAAGTCCAAAGAGGAAGCGGGCAGTTTCAGCTCCTCCTGCGACAGGCCCGGGATCCTCTCCAGATCAGACAAGCCTCGTGCGTTGGGGCCAAGGCTCTGCTCCCGCAGCTGGGAAGGAGCAGGCCCAGGCTGCAGCTGGGCACGGGCCTCCCAGGCCACAGCACATCCTTGGCGTGGGCCATGGAACAGCACCGGGCTGTGCCCGAGGCTCTTCTCTTGCATGCAGACAGTGCTGCACGCTAGTTACATCAGCATCTGCCGAGTGAACTTCCCATGCAACTTTTGTACTGCTCATGGGAACCAGCCCTTAGCAGCCACGCTCCCCTTCCACCATCTTTCCTCCACCAAGCTCACCTTCATTGCCAGACCACACAAGAAAGCGCGTTGCACAAAGCCAGCAGCAGGAAGGTGTGTTGGTGCAAGCCTCGAGGTATCCCGCAGCTTTTGTTTTGCAGGAACTCTTCCAACATGAGTTAGGAAACATCTCTCCCTAACGTTGAGGCATGTCAAGACAACTGACCGAGCGGTGGTTCAGCAGCAATATTCCACCCCCGATTTGGAAGCGAGCTGGAACAGCTTCAGATGCAGAGCGCCAAGCCTCCTCCAGAGAGCTCGGAGGTGAAGAAAACAAGAGCTGCACCATGAGCAGCAGTGGCAAAGAGGAGTTCCTAAATACAAACACTGGTTGCAAAAGTTTCTGGGATTGGTGGCTGATGGTCCCACGAGTCCAAGGGCCTGAATGCAACATTAGGATCAGCTGCATGTACTTTGCTGGCGATCTACATGCAAAATGGGGACTGCACCTCAGCCACTCTACCCCCAAGGCCTACCACCACCAAGCTGGGCCAGAGGTCTGGGAAACCTACACCACTCAGCACCCCACCAGAACCCCACCCACAGCACAGCACAGGCCAGCTCAAGGCACAAGCTACACTGAGCAGAGAGTAAGCCAGCAGGGACAGAGAGGGGGCAAGAGGAGATGGGCAGAGGCTCCCTAAGAGACAGAGGGCTGAAGGCCAGGGCTGGGCACTCACCAGGACTGACCTTCGTACCCCCTGAGCTGGGTGGTTGACCAGCTGCACCTGCAGGAGTAAAGGAAAGTGCCGAGCACCTGGCGGGTGCCTCACAGAAAGGGAGAGAAACAGCTGCATGTGAGTGGCCACCTAAAGCCAGCGCCTCGATTTCTGCAAGTAAAACCACTGTCAGTTTCTTGAAAAAACTTGGGGTTTATTGATTTAAACTGCAAACAGTCGTTACAAAAGAGATTCTCTTTTAAATAAACTCACACAAAGAGGAAGAGAAAGCAATGTAGTGAACAGTAACAGGGGGGAAAAAATTACATTCATTATTCTCTTTGTGCCAGTCCCGTTCACCTCGGCAAGGAAAACTCCAAACTTGGATACAGAAACGCAAAGACAAACTGTATTTGGAATGTCTTCAGATAGGCACTTGGAGCTCAAGGCTTTTCTCCTTGAATCTATACAAAAAGAGGAAGAAAAAGGTCTTCCGTCCACACTGCCTCGCACAGAGCTCACATATGTACATTCTGTAGCCCACTTGGCAAGACCCAGGGCAGGGGAAGAGGAGGAAGAAAGGAAAGGCAAAGAAGCACATTAACTCAATTTGCAGTCCAACACAAAAAAAAAAAAAAAAAAAGGAGGGGGGGAAATTCTAAAATAAATAATCCAAACACAGTTTTTTGCATTTTTTTTAAATTAATTTTTCATTTTTTAAAATAAAATAACAAAAAAAAGTGTAAAGTTACAAAAAATGTCATTGTAGTATAATATATTAAACTGTGGGGAAAAAAAAAAAGGAAAAGACACTTCACAATCTTAAGATTAATATGGAAGATCATAATTTAAACATAAAAGAATATATTCTATGGATTCATCATCCCGATAAATATGAACAAAATTAACAAAAAAGCATAGGTTTCGGCAATAAATACGTTTTGATAAGTTAAATAAGCTTTTTTATATTGTTGTGCAGTGACAAGCAAAATTTGCTCTCCAATTTCTGAAGTTATACAAAATTAAAAACCCAGAAAAAAAAAATAATAATAAAAGCTCGGCGTGAGTGCTCTAAGATAGGTCTAAGGTACTCTAGAGCAAAACCATTAAAGCTATGTCTACTGGAACTTTGTTTACACGAACGTGTGTATGTGTGGAATGACTTCCGTCCGCCCCACCCCCTCCGTTTCTTTATTTGTTGTTAAGATGTCACACGAATACACGAGGAACTTTTAGCACCAAAATCGAGTCTCTCCCAGCACAGTCCACCTCTTTTGCTTTCTGCCATCTTTCTCGCTCGTTGTCCTCCCAGCCGAAGTCCCGCTCGTGTCACAACCACTCTGTTCTCAGCTCGCCCTCCCCGCAGGCAGGCGGAGGGGCGAGGCGAGGGGCTGGATGTTAACGCTGCCACGTGCCTGCAGCCGGGGGGCCGGGGGGCGGTGCAGGAGGCGGCCAGCGGGGGGAGCCGGGCGCGGGCACGTCCCGCACATCTGGAAGCGCGCAGAGCTGCGGTGCCCTCTGCAGCCGGAGAGGTAATAGAGTCACAGTGAAAGTGTTACAAGGCACTAATTTTGTAAACGTTATTGCTTCTCGTCGTAATTTGGCACTTAAGGTTGGAGCCGATGGGTGCGCGACAGGCAGGCGGACGCGTTAACATCCAGCTGGGGGGGGTGGGGGAAGGCGGGGGGTCAGCTTAACATCGCCACCGAGGGGGGAGCGGGAGGAACCCGCTTAGTCGTCGGAGATGGAGAGTCTGCTGAAGATGGGCAGGCGCCTGGAGGTGTCCAGGATGGGCGAGTCGGAGCCGCTGTGGCTGCTGCTGGAGCTGCTCAGATAGCCCTCCTGGTCAGAGAGCGAGTCCTGAGGGCTGGGCGGCGAGTCGAACATGTGGGGAGACTCGGACATGGGCCTGAACAGGAAGGCGGTGGGGGAGCTCCCGCCGGGCACCGGCACCCCCACGCTGGGGGCGAAGAGGCTGACCAGCTCCTGGCTGGAGAAGGTGAAGGGGTTGCTGGCGCAGTCGGGCAGCGTGGGGGAGCCCAGCAGGTCGTCGGCGCTCAGCATGGGCGGCGGGGTGACGGAGGTGGGGCTGTCCAGCAGCCCGGGGGCGGCGGCGCTGGGGAAGCCGGCGAAGCTGAAGCTGTGCTGCAGGCGGGGTCTGTCGGCGGCGGGGGGCTCCCGGCTGCCCGCCACCGCGCGCCGCTCCTCGGCGTTGTGGATGAAGTGGCAGCGCGGCCCGTAGGGGCAGAAGCCGATGGTGTGGAAGGTGCGGCAGAGCTCGGTCTTGTACTTGGGGTGGCGGGTGAGGCTGCGCAGCTCGTGGATGCCGTGGGCGAACTGGCACTTGTCGCCGTACTTGCAGGCGCCGTTCTCCTCGAAGGGGCGGCACAGCTCCGTCTTGTAGCGGCTGGAGTTCACTTGGCCCCCGGGCTGCTTCTGCTGCAGCAGCCGCTCGCCGCCCTCCGAGAAGGAGCGGTCCCGAAAGCGGCTCTCCCGGGGGCCGAGCGCGGGCGCGGGCTCTCCTTTGAGGCCGCCGAGGAGCTGGCTCTGGTGGAACTTGGCGTTGGGCAGCGTCACCGAGTGCCTCCTAGGGAAGCCGCCGCCGGCCGGGGTGCCCACCGCCTTCCTGTCCAGCAGGCACCCGCCGACCCCCGCGGGGCTGTAGTTCAGCATCTTGCTGCTCTGCGGGGGAAGGGAAGCAAGCGCCGGTCACTCGCACCGCCCGGAGCGGAGGGGCCGCGGCCGTCCCGCAGCGAAAGCCCTCCCCGCGCCCGGCCCCGACAGCCGCCCCTCGCGCAGCGCCCGCTCCGAAGGAAGCGCTGAGAGCGGCCGCGCGGGACCGCCGCGCGCTACGGTGCACGCCCAGCGCCGGGAGCGTGTGCTGCGCTGCGGCGGGGCCCGACCCCACGAGCTGCCCTTGCGCGGCCCGGCGGGAAACATTCCCGGCCCCAGCGCTAACGTCGCTCGCGAGCAGAAACCGGGAGGGAAAGGAAAAAGAAAAACAAAAAATTGCAAGCACAGCAAAAGGCGCCCTCCCGAAGTTGGGAGAAGCAACGCCCCGACGGCGACGCTTACCTTGCATAAAACTTCGCTCAGGTCGAAGATGGTGGGCGACACCAGGGCCGTGGACATATTGTCGGGCGAGCGCGGGACGCGGAGGGCAGCGGCACGCGTAGAGGGGTCGCGCTGCGGGAAGGGCTCAGCCTCCGCCCGACTCTGTGCCGCCCCAGCCCTGCCCGGCCCCGCGCCGCCCGCCGCTCGCTGCGCGCCCGGACGATGGCACTTATAGAGTTTCGGCCTTACCCCGGGAGGAGGGGCGGTGGGAGGAAGGGGAGGAGGAGGAGAGGGCGGGGTGAAGAGCGCGGCCGGCTGAGTCACCCGCGGGCGGGGCGGCCCCGCAAACTTTTCGAGAGGAAGGAGAGGGGGGGGAGGAGGGGGAAAGAAAAAGGAAAAAAAAAAGAAAAAAAAAAAAAGGGCAAGAAAGGGGAAAAAAAAACACGCGTCCCTGCAAGAATGGTTCCGAGCTGCGCCTTTCTCCCCCTCCCCCGCCCGTGCGTCTCCGCGCGGCTCTGCGCGCTCAGCCCGGGGCCATATGCCGGCTGGCTCGCCTCCACCTCACTTTAAGTTATTAAAACACGGCTTTAGAAGGGTGCGCGGTGGATTCTGCCTTCCCCCCCCCCGTGCGCTGCCTTTCCGCTCCGCAGGGCTCTGGGCTATAACCCTGCCGAACCTCACCGCGACGCCGCTCGCAGGGCGTGGGCACGGCGGACCCGGGGCCACCCCAAGAGCGCGGCGCGGCTCCGGGACGGCACTGCGGGGGGGAGCGGGGCGCAGCCCAAACCAACGGCTTCAGCGCGCGGGGCCGCGCTCTGCCCTCCTGCGGTGTCAGGGAGCGGCCGAAGCTGCTGCGAGCCCCTCCAGCTCTCTTTTTGCACTGTTGCCCTTGTTGTTTACTTAAGGGGAGCAGCCGAGTTCCTCGAGCTCCCTTCCCTACCCAGTTCCCCTCGCCCCGGCCGGCGGCGGGCACTTCGCCGCTCTGGACGCGGTGCCCGTTCCCAGGGCTCTCAGCCTCTATAATTAACTACGCGGTAATTGCCGAGCTGGAAACGTCACTGCGGGGACTTTCCGAAGCTCCCGCGAGCCGCCAGCGGTCACCGCTTCGCTGCCGCCCTCCGCAACAACCCCCCCCCCCCCTTCCCTCCCGTGCGCTGCTTTGGGCCTCCGGGGCCGGGACTTTGGGGGCGGGCGGGAATCGGCGCGGCGCTGCCGCCGGGCGGGGCGGGCAACGCGGGAGCTGCGGGGCGCGGGGAGGGGCGGTGGGCACGGCAGTGAGAGCGCGTTGTTACAAGAGGGCGCAGGGCGAGCAAACGGGTGCGCAGTGCGCTCGGCGCAGATTGCGCCGTTCCTGCGCCCCGGGTCTGGTGCGCGTCCCGGTGCTTACAGGGTTGGGGTTCCCTGCCCATGCACACATTGAACACAGCGATTAAAAACTGCTGTCCCCAATCAGGATGACCAGAAGGAGGGAGCGAGACGAGGAATTGCAACTGACGTGCTGAGCTGGGAGGGGAACGTTCCCATAGTGCGCGCATGGAGCTGAGGGCAGTTGGCACGCAGTGCTGCGGGGTCGTACAACCAAAGAATCATAGAAGGGCTTGGGCTGAAAGGGACCTTAAAGACCATACAGTTCCTCCCCGTGCTGTGGGCAGAGCTGCCACCCACCAGATGAGGCTGCCCAGGACCCCATTCAACCTGGCCTTAGGCACCACTAGGGACCGTCACCCACAGATGCTGTGCCAGTGCCTCGCTGCCCTCTATCACATAACCTGAACCTCCCCTCTTTTAGTTTAAAGCCCATTCTTCTTTGTCCTTGGGCAGAGCAGAGGAGAGCAATTCCCTTGTCTCCTTGCTGGCCACTCCTGTGTTGATGCAGCCCAGGATGCAGTTGACCTTCTGGGCTGCAAGCATACACTGCTGGTTCATGCTTTTCATCCATCAGGATTCCCAAGTCCTTCTCAGCGGGGTTGCTCTCAATGAGATCTCCCGATCTCATACTTGGCCTTATTAAATCTCATTATGCTCTCATGAGACAACTTTTCAAGCCATCCAGGTCCCTCTGGATGGCATCTCTTCCTTCTGTTACATCAACTGCACCACTCAACTTGGTGCCATCAGCACACCTGCTGAGGGTGAGCTTTATCCCTGTGTAGGCCATTGATAAAGGTGACACAAGTGTAAACAAAGTCAAATAAGCCATCTGACAAATAGCTGAAGGAAAAATCCCTGGAGACCGGCTTTGGCCTGTTCCCAACACAGCCTGTTTCTGAGGTTCCAGGCTGGGAATCTGCTGTCACACAGAGATTCTCTCCCATGGTTCTGAGGCACCCTACAGGCACCCAATGCTGTCCCGCAGCCATGCCGTGTGCACATGGGGCTCAGCACACTTCCTGCCCACAGTGCTGCTGGGCTGCTGAGTGAGCCGGTGCAGGGCAGCCACAGCTCATACCTAAGGGGTCAGGTACTAATTTTGCTGGCCGTGCCCCTGAAGATGCAGAAATGTCTTTCTGCAGGCTGTACTGGGCCCCCCTGCTCTGGGTACCTTTGCAGCACTGTGGCTCTTAAGGTAGAGCAGGTGACCGTCGGTGGTGCCAGGCAAATATTGTGAGCCCTTAATCCTGCAGGCTTTGCACCTGTGAGTGACCAAAGCCCATTGTGGTAGGATGTCCTCATGCAGAGGACAGCATTGCCAGCAGGTAACTGGGCTGGCCCTGGGCTGGGTGCCTGTGGGTAGGGCTCTGTGCCCCAGCAGCTCATGGCTCTGTCAGGCACGAGGGATGGAGATAGCACACAGCCTTGAGGGCCACACGGATGTGGCACCGTGCTGCTGACAAGGTGCCGCAGTGGAAAAAGCAGAGGTGTTCTTCCAACGGGCACCCGGTAAAGAAATTGACTGAGCGCTATTGGCCCGAGTTACAATTTCCAGTGGAAACGCCAATGTGTTTGCAGATCACAGGACAGCACGCCCACGTCCCACTGCTCGCCATGACCACCCCCAGCCCTATGCTGCAGCTGGGCTGGACCAGGGATCGCTGCAGTGGGGTGGGATGGAGAGCTGGGAGAGAAGAGCAGGAGCGTGGCAGTGCAGCCTACAGCAGCAGGTCAGGATTCACAACTGCTTTCCTGCTCACAGGCCCAGCACAGCAGTACAGTAACACAGCAGTGCAGTAACACAGCAGCACGGTGTGTCTGGCGCCCATGCCAGCTTCCAGTGGGAGCAGCTCTGGCTGCTGAGTTGTTCAGCAGACGTCAAAATAAGAATGTTTCCATGATATTTTTCTCCCCTGGAAGAATGTGCTAGGGCTAAATGCTTTCACCTTTTTCTTCTCCTTTTTCTTTCTTTTTTTTTTTTTTAAAGAAAAGGCCTAACACCCCTCAAGGGCCTTGAGGCCTCACCATTGACCTGCTGCATGGTGCTGTGTCCCATGTGTAAGGCTCCATTCAGACCCACTCCTGGGAGGGCATTCTTAGGGAGCTCTCCTGTTGGCACCTTTGTAACAAAGGCTATCAGAAAGGATGGGTTTCCTCTCACACAGATTTAGATGCCTAAAAGTTTGGTGTTTAAGCCTAATTAGTTGGCCAGGCTTCTTGCATAGTCAATGGAGACAAATAGGCACCTCCAGTGTGTGATTCACCTTGGCTATCTGCAGCTTTTATCTGAGGGTCTGACTCACTCAGGACTAAGTGAAGAGCTGAGTGCCCGCTTCGCTCTGCAACTCTTGGGCAGGTGGGTGACTCGCTTAGGGCTGGACAGCTGATTTGTGGCCACCCCCAAACTCAGCCCCCACCCCACAGCCTGGCTCTGGGACTCCCACTCCATTTCTCTCAGAAGCCCCCTGTCCAGCCCTGCCAAGCAAGGCTTGGTTGCAGCCTGCCGAATCTTACTATCAGCCCCTATCGCCTCATCAGACCGAGTTAAATATTTATAAAGCTGCCGGGGCAGGGTCCATGCCTTGCTACATGTCTGTGTATTCCCTGGTGTAGCGAAGCCCAGCATCCCAACCCCTCTGCGTTGTGGGACGGAGACTCTGCGCAAAGCTGCAGGTCCTGACGAAATGCAGCTGGGAGTGCACAGAGTGCTCGTGGACGTTGGGAAATAGGCAGGAATGAATCATAAGAGTCGGGAGAAGCTGCTAATGTGTGGGAAAAAGGCAAATGTGCTACCTCTGCACAAACATATAATAAGGAAGTATGTAATAATAATTATTGTTATTGTAATACGGTCTGGGTGAGCATTTGGGAAAAAGATATCTAATAACTGACAAGCACCACGGCTCGGTTTGTTTTGATCTGAAATTCAAACAATGGCGATGTTTATAAGGTAATAATACACAGGGCACAGAGTGCTGGCACCGCACCAACTATGCACTCCACAAGTCGGGTTTATATAGGTCATGCCAAACAAATAATAGTGTTCTTCAATATAATTACTGATTCATTAAGAGAATGGGAGAGAACGTAATTGAGTCTGTTTGGATTTCAGGGAGGTGTTAGATATGGTAAATTTATACATTTGACCTTGGATTTTGGAGACATTACATGCTCGCCCAGTTCTGCTCCTCTGGAAGGCAGCGGTGACATTCCTGTTGCGGTCCCTGCAGCCAGTGCAGGACACCTCTCACTCAGCCCTGGCAGCCCCTGGATGTACCTGAAGCTTTTCCCCAAGGAAACACTACGTGTGGTGGCTCAGCCATGGGTCCAGCATCCCTCATCCCTATTGCCAGCCTTGCTGCTGCCTCCATGCTCCTGGTCCCACCAGGGAGCAGCTACATTTTTAGAAAAAGGCTGAGCTGGGCATAACATGGGGCTTCTAGGAAAACAGGGGCTACACCAGCCCCATCTGCAGATGGGAGAAGGGAGCAGTTGTGAGCTGAGATGTGTAGAAGCAGTGGGGTCTGGAGCCAGAGTGAGGGCATGTCCCAAAACTGCACTGCCCTGGGGCTGACCTCTGCTCTGGAGGGAGCTAAACAGTAAAGGGAGAAACAAAACTGCTGAGCACAAGCAGCATCCAAAGTAAGTGGGAAGGATACGGTGATAATAAGCGAAGGCAGCTTTTTGTGAAGCTAAATCATGCCCCTCTAGTCAGTTGACTTCTTTGAGCTTCTAAAAAAGGCTGATCAGGAAGGAGTAGGGAACAGAGTAAATACAGCCTTTCAAAAGGGTTTTTGATAAAGACCTTTCCAAGAGTGAAATAAACTTGGCAACCGTGGGATGAAAAGTCCCGTCATGGATTAAAAAGTGGGTCAGAGCTGATAGGAGGGAGAAAATCCATTAGAAGGAAATGGCCAGCAGGGTAAGGAAAGCCTGCTGAGGGGGGCGGTG